TTCGGACAACACAACACCATCCCTCTTGTGAGACATTGTTCTCTACATCAATTACTGTAACCATTTTGTGCACTTCATGTAGAAATTTTGCATCATTCTTCAATAAAGGTCTCTTCTGTAGAATTGGAACATGTTTTATGGTACATATGAGCAGGTTCAGTGCCATGTCAACCCAAGTTTGCGTGTATTCCATCTCCATTGCCATTTCCTCTTTGTCAATAGAGCCCTTATGATTCTCTCTGTCTCACTTAGACAGGTTTACAACTTTGTGCAGGGACGAATCCAAGAATTTGGTGTGACAGACATATTCCTTTGGTCAAGTTTTTATGGGAGATAGTTGTGAAAGTGACATCGGATCTTGGGACACGAATTCTATATAATTGTAATAATAATTTACGGATATATAGTAAATTCTAACCATTATACAGTAGCATACCTATCAACGAGCATGTAGGACATAAAGCAAATAAAAACAGAAAGAATGTACAGTGCCTTCTTGTGCACATCATCAAAGCTCCCTGACCTCTCTTCAAAAATGGTCTCCAATTTAGGGGCATTTGAAGTTTTTTGAGGAGAAATGAGAGGTGCTGGTGCAACGTCCACCCTATTATGCTTATAGCCCATTTATTTCCTTAAAGTAATAGAAGGGTCTGACCAAACAAAGAAAAAAAGTAATGGAAGGGACGTTTTAAATCCTCTGCTGAAAAAGGCCTTTAAATCGAAGGGTTGCTGAATAGGAAGCTTAATGATTTAATGGGTTTTCTGGAGAAAGCCGAAGAGTAAATATGACTTAGGGAGCAGTTAGATGCATATATACATATATCTGTGTGTGTGTGTGTGTGTGTGTAGTTTTAAATACTAAAAATAAGAAATGGCCTTAGAAAGTGGTCAACGGTAAACACGAGTGTTTGAAATTTTCTTGAAGCAAGTTTCATAAAAGCCATAGAAACATTCAAGTCAGACTTATTATTAGATAAATGAGCAAAAATTAACTACATTATTCATCTTTCTGAATTTGCAATGCATGGCGCCCCCCCCCCCCCAAAAAAAAAAAAAAAAAAAAACCTACAAATTTCTGTACACCAATTACGTATGTAAATGTATTATTAATATGCTAAGATGAATATTAAACTGTTAGCAATGACTTGTGAATGTAGACACTTTGTCTTATAAAAAAATGAGTATTGATTGGGTAATATTTATATTTTTAATAATAATTTATATCATTTTTTTTTTTTAAAAGAGAGAGCTAGGGGAGAGAGAACAGAGGCTTACAATAATGTGGCAAATTTTAAACTTTATTAACGATTCGCAATATTTTGAACTTATTTATTAAACTATAATACTATCTAAAAGTGGATTCAAGAGGTTTACAATAATGTGGTAAATTTTAAACTTTATTATTGATTTACAATATTTTGAACTTATTTATTAAACTATGATACTATTTAAAAGCAGATTCAACAACTCCGTTTTTGTTAGAACATAGATTCAATAACCCCACTTTTGTTAGAAAGAGGAGTCAACAAAACTCCGCTTTTTAATAAAAAATGTATCTAAATACGAAAATTTTGTGGGGGCAACAGGTAAAAATTTTGTGTACTAAACACGCTATTTAGCAAAGGCAAAACAAAAATGTGTTTAGTAAACATGCTTTTCACGCTTTTCATCTATTATGGCTATAACTAAATATTGTGGGCGATAGGTGAAAATTATATTTATTAAACACGTTTTTTTCTTAAAAGACACTTTTCACAATGTTTATATGTGATCACTGTAACTACTGATCACATTTTTATTTAAAAGTGGTGTTATTGACCCCATTTTCAAACAAAAGAGGGATTATAAACTTTACTTTAAAAAGATGTCGTAGTTTGGTAATTAAGTTCAAAAATATCGTAGCTAGATCGACAATAAAGTTTAAAAATTACTGCATTGAGGTAAATAACTCTAATTGATTCGGGATGGAGCAAAGAAAATGATATTTTTGAAGAGAAAAATAATTTGGAATGAATTTTGTACCATTTAATCAAAGTAGATAAAAATTGAATCAATCTTGATTGTTGTTATCCTTTTATAAGTTGATAATTCAACTTCTTAATTACATGTAATATTAGATAGATGCTTCTTTTTTCACGTAATAGAACATTCTCCAATATGTGGTTAACTGATGAGTCCACAAGTTCTTTAAATAAAAACTGCAGAGGCAATGCAAGTTGTATAAATGACGAGGGACTTATTATTCAATTTGATCTTCACCGGTAATTGTGTAGAGTGGAGTGCACTGGATACAAATTTAATTTTTGACATTATACTCATATGGTTACTGTAACGTCCCAAAATTCACTATGGAAGATATTAATATCTAAAAACCATCCAATCATAAGAGCAGCTATAATAATTATTAAATAATAAATCATTCATCAATCTGACAAAGAATAAATACTAAAACCAATAAAACACTTTTAACTTCTTTAACTTACAATTCAAAACCAAAGAATATCTAACAGCGGAATAATTAAACTAGCTAAAACATTGTTTTATAAAAATTTCTCCAAATTCAATAATCAGAACTACATCTCTTAGCCTCCACTTCAGAATCCTCATACTGACCCTCTTCATCCTCAAGATCAACCTGCATATTCAATCTGAGCTCTTCCTCTAGACTATAATCTGAAAAAGATGTGATTTGTAAGGGGTGAACACTAAGCTCTTTAGAAAAATTCTCTCAAGCTCGAACAAGGTTTTGAAAATATATAAAACATGTCGGTCTCATTTTACAAAATATAATATATAAATTTTGAAATAAAAAAGTGACAGTTTATCATATCTCAAGTTTACATAGTAATAATAAATTAAATGAAGAAGTAAAATCAACTTTCAGACAACAAACCATTATCAATACTGTATCTTAGGTATGTAGTAAGACTTAGTATAAATACACATATTGAGAAATCTTAGCCCCACACTCACACACCCAATTCTCACAAGAATACACAATTTTAGAAATGGCATATACCGATGTATCGACAGTGACGAATCTAACCCAAAAATAGTATATAACCCTTAGCCTCGATACCTATGAGCAAATAGTGGTTTTGTCCTCGCAAGGGATCAACCCCATTACGAGTGGTAGGGAACTTTCAAATCTACTCGGAGTAAGAAATGCATCTACTCACTCTACGATACCTGGTCAACGGTCACCCATGTTCATCCTAACATCCACACAAGAGATACAATATCAAACCAATTCACCAAATCACAGATAAATCAAGAACCATAATTCCACATATATTTTTCCAACACAACAACTCAAGAAAATATGTAAGAAATCATCAAGAAATATAATTTTATTTTTTGAACAAAACACTAGAGTTTTTAAATAAAAACAATGGAATATTAAGGTAAAATCTATATTTCTTGAAAACTAGATTTTGATAACAAGAATAAAAGTTTTTATGGCTATCAAACGATAACCTCATTCAAGACATAATACAATTTGCAAGAAACCCAAGAAACAATAATTTCATAACATATATATACGATTTAGAATCAAAACATACATATATATTAATCCTAGTTTCGATGAACAAGTTTAGAAGAAACCACTACCTTTAATCTGTTGTTTGAAGATAACCTAGCATGTTTGAATCAATCCCGAAGCGAGAATCCTCCCCGTGTCTCTTCTCTTTTTTCTTTCAAGTTTTCTACGGTTTTCTCGAATGAACAATCGTTGAACATAGGCCCAAGGGGCATTCCCTAGTTATTTATAATACCAAAAGTGGAGAAAAATCTAAACACAGATTGTCCAAGTTCTATCCGGTGCGTTCAGACTCGTGTCTCTCTCGTCTGGATACGTCTGATAGCATACCCCCGACTTCCAGCTCAATTTTGACCTAATTAGAAGTTGATTCACGAAATTTTAGTGAGCCATTGAAGTCTAGTTTTTACTATAAAAAAATAAGCTCAATCGGAGTTAAGATTAAAAAGTTATGACCAAAGGTAGTGTCAAATTCCTTTCCAAAATAAGTTTTAACTCCAAAATATTTCCTAACTTCTAATACACCCCATATTACCCCTCCCAATGTTTCATCGACCTTCCGGATTCAATGAAAACCTTATTTTGATCTAAAAATATTTACAAAATTACTTAGCCATAGTTTTCAATATAAACATCTCAAAAACTTCATTTATCTCAATATAAATACGCTCAAAACTCAAGTTTTATAATCAATCTTTCAACAATAATTTTAAGTTTCTACCATCATTTTATTCATCTTAAGAGAAATCTTAAAATAATATTATTATTCTTTAATTTTAATACTGGGTCTTACAATTACTATGGTATTTGAACTCATAATGTAAGGATTTTATTAGTACCAACATGATCTAAATGGATAAGGCGATGAATATTTCAGAGTTTGATTTAGCAAATATTTTTTTTAATAAAAGAGAACTATCACAACTATGTATTCTTTAGACTCATGGCCAAACAATCGGCCTTCCAATGCGTGCAATCAAGTGCACATCCAATAAGCTGGTGCAAGAGTTGAACTTAAACCTCATCGTAATAACTCTAAGATGTTTCCATCTAACCTGTCCTGACGAGTTGATTCACATTATACTCTCCGTTATAGTATCATGATTTACACAGAAAGAACATACAAGCAATTTCTTGTGCACAATATTAAAATTTCAAGATCCTTTAACAGTGGCGTCTGTGATACAATGGTAGATGAATGCACCACATAATTTTTGTGCATATCAACCTTACAGATTCTTCTTCAGAGTGGCCTTTCCTGGGCTTCGGCACAACGACAAAATCGTTCCATTGTGACTTAGGCATCCTGAGTTTGAAAAATGAAAAAATCTCTTCGTATGGCATGTACATCTGACCTTTCTCAGACCAAATTAATTATGAAAGTCCCGTAAATGGATGCCATTTGTCTATATTTCTGGTTTTGTTGGTTCTTCCAGTGGGGTTTTGGAAACTCCCCACGTCAAACAATGGCATATCTGTTAATCACCAAATAGGACATAAAAGAAAGGAACACAGGAAGAAGAAACAACACCTTCTTGTGTACAAAATCAAAACTCTCAGATCCTTCTTCAGCAATGGTGTCCAATTTGGGAGCATTTGAAGGTTTTAGACGTGAAATGAGAGGGGCTGGTCCAACCTCAGCCCAGTTGTGGATGAAGCCCATTTCTTTTCCCATGTCTAGTGTAAGAAAAAGCCTTTGGTTTCTTCTCTCCTTGAAAAGGCCTTTGTGTGAAAATGGTTGTTCAAGAGAAAACTTGATTGACCGGTGGATTTTAGAAGAGAGCCAAGTAGAGGGATGGGTAGTGAAAATCTTTGTGGTGGGGTTTATATATTAGTTTTAAAGCAAAAAAGAGGGGAAAAACCTTGGGACAAGGTTTATGAGGAAAATTAGTGGTCAAAATCCACGTGTGAGGCGTTTAAATTATTGTCGACTAAGTCCATGGGAAGGTTTCTTATTTTTAGTAGCGTAAAATATATACTTGGTCCTCAAATTATATTTTTTGTGTTGGTTTGGTCTTTAATTTTTAAATTCTATTAATTTGATCTTCTAAATTTTGAATTTGTGTCATTTTGGTCTAATAAAAAAACAATAGTTTAAGTTAATTAAATGATGTATTTACGTGTTTCTTACGTGACTACACATAATGGTTCACTATGGTCACTTTGGTCCTTTATATTTATAATTTGTGTCCTTTCAGTCTCTTACATTTCCCAAAAATACATTTCAAATGTGGTCAAGTGAAGTGCAGATGACAATCTTTGTTACTCAATTTAAACTGTCATTTTTAATTGAAAAAATAATAAAAAATTAAATAATTGAGGAACTAAAGTGATACATTTTAAAATATTGAGAATCAAACTGACTCACAACACATAATTTAAAAATATATTTTTCCATTTTTAGTAATATGAGTCAAAATTAGTTTGAAGATGAGTTTATTGAAATTTGGAAATTGTTTATGTATTTATTGTACCAAGCTCGACCTTGACCAACCATCTAGTTCTAATTATTTTGCACAAAATTGGTGGCCAGTCCAATACCAATTTGGGAGATTATGAAGGATTTAAGTATAAGCCTTAAACTTATTTGACCTTAAGTATATTAGGTTATCAACTTGTATGGGTTAAAGTACATTCTGTTTTTTATTACTGTTTTACCCATTTCAACATTAATGGATCCTAGCAACTCTTCTTCATTATGTGAAGTTTTGGATCCTATTGGAACCAGGGTCATCACTAGTGAACAATTCTTGGAACGAACGTACTCGAGCCAGAGAATCAACAACTTCCCCTAGCACCATCCTACAGTAGTCGGACGTGATTAATGAATAAAACATCCATAACACATAATTACTTTTCTTATACTATTATTAAACCGTTAAAATATATATTGGACAAGGTTCCATTCCTAAGCTAACATGATTAAAACAAAATCAAATAAAATATTTTGGTACAACATAAAAAAAATAATATTAGTAGCCTCTAGCTGCGATCTCCCTAGCTAGAATAACATTTTGGTAAATACAAACATCAGAATAAAATCCAAAACATTTTATGTGTAAATTAATTCCAAAAAATAATTAGGGTTTTGATAAAAAAATATCATGTGTGTAGGAATCATGAAATAGTAATAAAAACCCCAACCCAACCCTATGGATAATGTTAACTAATACTTAGTATTATATACATAGCATAGGTGTGATATGGAACTCCCAAATATACATGAGATGCATTAATAATAGTAAAAGACAAAAGAAATCATATATTCGAAGTTACCTCGAATCGATACCATGTACTCTAGCAAAACAAAGCGGATTAATATTTTAGAATAAAATTAAGTAATAATGACTAAACCAAAAATAATTTTTAGAGTGAATAACGAAAAATAACGATAACCAAATTTGACGTAAAAATATTTAACGATTATCAAGTTCTAGTAATTGGCCATCAAGGTGAACCTATAAATAATTAAATCATCAGTCAAAACTTTACCTAAATTTTTGATCGTAAAATTGAGCTCTTATGTTCACAAATTTCTCTCTTTTTCTTTTCCTATTCTCCCCCTCTCTCTTCCTTCCTCCCTTTTTTCTCTCCTTCTTTGCTTTGGTCGTTTGCTTCTGTCCCGTGGCTATTTCTAGCCAAAGTGGGAGCCTTCATGTCACTTACATGTAAGGGGTTTACATTGGCATGGTGAAGTACAGTGGACACATCCAATTTTTGTGTTCATTATTATTATTATTATTTTTCACTTATACACATATCACATATAAGTGTAGTTTTCTTCTCATTGTCACCTACTTACTTATACCGTTCATACACTTTAGATATTTATTAAACATAATCAATATTAAAGTTATTTGACTTATTTTCACGTAAGGGATCCATATTTTAGGTCCATTTATTTATTTGAAATTTCTAAAAATAACTCTTGATTACAAGAATAACAATTAGAACTCTAATTAACGGGTTAACGATTAATTTTCATACGGGTCAGTACATCATTCATAATTCTCAAGCTTTTTGATTAGTAACATCAGATAGTAACACTCAAATTATGTAACATTCACAATAATGCGTTACTTGTGGAAAGAAAGGTAGGGTGTTTAATTCAATAAATCGTGACTTTGGACCATAAATGTTACCCGATTCATGTTATTGGTGGAACATTTTGTGAATTGATTTTGTTTATATCTTTATTATGCTCAATGTTATTGTCTTTGATTTTAAATGTTACAGTGCTTTGGTCACCATTGTGTTCATGTTATTGCTTCATATCAATATTATATTTAATGTACCTTTTTTTGATTTTAAATTTTACTATTTTTCACTTACATGCACTACAAGAAAATTCACTTTTAGTCGCTAGATTTAGATTGACAAAAAAATATTATTGTCACTGAAGATATGATGTTGAAATTATTTAGTGGCTATAGTTATTTGTCGCCAGTAAAGATATATAATTAGTGGTGAAAAAGTACTATTGTCACTAAAGATATGATAGTGAATCTAATTAGTGACAATTTAAATGTTGCAGCAAAAATATATTACTAATTTATCACTAATTTCAAATATTTAGTGACAACAATTTAAATTTAGTCACTAATAATAAAAAAATATTAGTGATAACATTTTGTACTTGCAATAAATATGCCTTGATTTTAGTCACAATTTTTTTTGCCACTGTGTAAATTTTAGAAAATAAGTTGTCGCTGGTAAATGTAATACAAGCCCAAAAAAAAAAAACTAAAATTCCTTCATCTCATATAATACGAATGGTGCTTTTAAAATATATATATATATACTAGGAATAAGCCGTGCTTGACGGCACGGTGCAACTAAACAAAATTGAACATTAGATTTGAATGCGAAATAATCAAGCATTGAACTCGGACACGTACTAAACTGAAAGTCTAAACTTGTCTTATATCACGTATTTGAAGGCACTATACATAGTTCTTAAACACGAAATAATCAAAAATGAATATAAACATGCATTAAGCTGAAAATCGTTTGGTAATATTTAATGTCATGACTTTAGTAAAATAAAATGGGTCAAAATTTAAAAAACTTTCAAATTTTTGACAGAGTATCCTTTGAAAATACGATGCCACAAATATCACGCCCAATCCTCCCTTCATGTACCAATTTATCAACTATCGTAACTCCAAGCTACATAAATGCCCTTAATTTAATCTACTCCAAAATTTTCAATATCATCAAACACCACTGCATTAAAAGAACCAGCTTGGCATTTGAGTCTTCAACCCATATATCATTCTTATTGTTCTGTCATATCTGGGGGATAAATTAATTTGGTAGGAAACTGGCTCTGGGCTTTTTGCTGTCAAAACAGCTTGGCATTTGAGTAAGAATAGGGGGTGGTGAATGAGGTAGCTGGGCTTATTTGGAAGACTGTTACTGCTCCTAGTGCTCTATTAATTGATTGGAAATTTTTGTGTAATGCCTTGCCTTTGGATTCGAATTTTCCGAGAATAGGTGTATCCTTGGTGAGCAGGTGCTGCATGTGTTATCAGAATGTGGAAACTATGAATCACCTTTTTGTTGAGTGTGCTTATGATTAGCAAAATTTCATCAAACTAATCACCAAAACCCTATTTCATAACACCCAACAATCAAGTCAACATCCAATTTCATATGATTAATACAATTCTTCTTAAAAAATTTAAAACAAAAGAAGGAATTTAATGAGTAACTTATTACCCTTCTTCAAAATTCTTAAAGTACCGAAAAAGGTATAAGTAGAATACAAAAAACAAAAAACCAAGAATGTTTGACAATAATTTATAACAGGGAGTGTGTTTGACAGTAATTAAAACACAAAGGTTGAAGTAGATAGAATTTCAAGAGCAATATGATAGCGTACGGAAACCCATACATAAAAAAAATTCATATAAGGTGCACATGTATATATAGCCACATATGAAAATCATATTCATAAGGGTTATCAAAATATTTGTCACATGCTAGATTGAATAGTAACACAAAGAATGACCCAAGGCAAAAGAAGCGGTGAAGTTCAATATTAAGCTATCAGTGACCAAAAAACCAAGAAAGTTTCTAAAAAGAAAGCAAAATGAATTCAATTCACAAAGAATTTAAAGGCTCATAAGTGATATAGGCTTGTTCAATTCACAAAGAATTTAAAGGCTCACCTGTAACATTTAACACCACCACCAAAATGGCACCACTACCCAACACATAATCACATCCAATCACCTAGCATCAACCTATAAACCAATCAAATATCTATTGAATTCAAAAAAATAAAAAAACATAAAAACTCATACAATTGACAATAAATCCAAACAAACAAAACTTATTATATTCCACCATCAATTTCATACAACAATAACCAAATTTCAACTAACACTTCAATTGACAATAAATTTCATAAAACTCACCATCCATAAACTAATAAAAAATTTCAATTAAAATTCAGCAATTTCACAAAATTTCAACAATCTAAAAATTAAGTGTTCTGTGTGTTCTGTCTGTGTGCGTGAGTGTGTTTTCTGTGTGGTGTGAATGTGTAGCAGAGAGGAGGGGATGGGTATTTTGGGTGGGGATGGATATTCTAGCTGGGGGTGGGAGTGGGTTACGTAGAGGGGGTAGGGGTTTGCGCAAAAGGGGGAGATCTAGGAAGGGGGTTTGTTGAG